CAGTACTTCTCCACACACTGCATTTAGGCATAAAAAGTAGCTGGCATTATTTTGGTTAACACAAATTAGCTAAATCCGTCCTGAGCCATGTATAAACACATTTTCTTTCTTTATATGCTCAAACAGAGATGTATACGTTTAGGTTGAGAGGCCTAACTATTCAGTGCGGAAAAGAGATTGACAAGTGATTGACACTTATTTTGAAAGAGATGTATACGTTTGGAAACTGTAAGTTCCTACATTTATATCCTACAGCTCGTATTTTGACATGTGACTTTCAACCGGTTTGTGTGAAGTCAGCAGAGGGATTTTTGACAAGCAGAGTGTCGTGCTCTTAGTGTGGGGTCTCTCTTTTTCTCCTAGGTAACAGGAAATCATGTGGTTGACAGTAGGGGGTCCCAGGGAAAAGTATAGCCCTGGGTGCTTTTGAAGACATCCCCCCCTAGTTTCAGCAGGCCCCATGCTGAGCTCATAAAGTCAACTCAAAATTTAAAGTAGTTTCCGCCATTTTAAATCAAGAATATTCATACGTGTGTTGACGTTTTCTTTTTCAATAATTTGATTCTCCAGCTTCAAGAATGTACAACAGGTAATGCCAAACATATTATTTTCATCCTGGCCAAATCATTTGCAGCTGCCGACAAGAGAAAACACCCCGTCATTTTCAGATCTAAAATATAATTTCCTTGCTGTGATATTCTCTATTTGCACATTGTAAAAACAAGTAGTCATCCGATGCAATGGTTCTCTCACACTACACATGGCATTCAGGTGGTGTAGTAATGAACCTGCTTGATGAATACAAAAGTATATTTACAGAGGCATTACATCCTTCATTATAATGCTAACAGATTTGATACCAAGCCTGCTCTGATCCAAAGCCAGCAGAGGATTTCACTGCAAATTGGTGAGGTCCTTTTAACAATGTCAATAAATCAAGGCAATCACAAGGAGATATGGGAGAGACTTTGCCGTAAATCCCACCGGGATCATAAATGTACAGCATCTAAATGCGTCTGTCCACACTCCCTGTCTCGCTCTGTCTCATGCTTTCTTTATTTTTGTTTGTTCGTCTCCATCTTTAAACACTCCCATGTGGATGTCGATCCAATCATCATTGAAATGGTGCTGCTGCTGATGTGCTGTCACTTTCAATGCTCACTGGTTCTTTGGATGATTGTGCCAAATGTCTAATGGCATTTAGCAACAGTTACATCATTCATAGTAAAGAGATTAGAGTGCACCTAATTAGCTCTCCACAACCACTTGTCGGACGTGTCACTTGTGGTACTGGTCGTTGACACTATAGATGGAGCTGTGTATCGACTTGTAGAGCAAGCACACTCAGGAAGCCATCAGGAGAGTTCAAGTATACAGGACACACACTCAGACTGGGCATCAGCACTAGGAAAATGAAGGAATTGACCGTTATAAACCTACTAGCAAGTGGTCTAGAGATTGTGACATTGAAACAATACCAGCATTTGATCCTTTAGTGTTAATATCTAGAAGATAATACTCTTGGTTTTGCTTGCATAAAATCACTGAAAATGTTCAATTCAATATGACATGCGAGTTTAGATATTTGTTATATTTGAAAGTTTTGTTTAAAGTATTTGTGTAACAATATTTGAAAGGGGGGAGTGGTGGTGGCATTTTAGGCCACTGGATGCTTTAGGCAAGGCAAGGCAAGGCAAGTTTATGTATATAGCACTTTTCAACACAAGGCAATTCAAAGTGCTTTACAAAAAATGAAAGAGATTAAGAAAATGGCATTTAAAATCAGTCATTAAAAAGAAAAGCTAATAAAATAAACATTAAAAGAAAAAATACATGGATAAAAGTTACAGTGCAGTCAATTAAACATTAAAAGAAAAAAAGTACATGGATAAAAGTTACAGTGCAGTCTAAGATATGAATAGTTCAATTAAAAGCAGCGACAAAAAGAAAAGTCTTCAGCCTGGATTTAAAAGTAGTTAGAGTTGCAGCGGACCTGCAGGTTTCTGGGAGTTTGTTCCAGATATTTGGAGCATAATAACTGAACGCTGCTTTACCATGTTTAGTTCTGACTCTGGGGACAGAAAGCTGACCAGTCCCTGAAGACCTGAGAGATCTGGATGGTTCATAATTTAGCAGGAGGTCAGAAATGTATTTTGGGCCTAAACCATTCAGTGCTTTATAAACCAGCAGCAGTATTTTGAAATCTATTCTTTGACACACAGGAAGCCAGTGTAAAGACTTCAGAACAGGAGTGATGTGATCCACTTTCTTAGTGTTAGTGAGGACTCGAGCAGCGGCGTTCTGAATCAGCTGCAGCTTCCTAATAGATTTTTTAGTGAGACCTGTGAAGACACCATTGCAGTAGTCGAGTCTACTGAAGATAAAAGCATGGACAAGTTTTTCCAAATCCTGTTGTGACATTAGTCTTTTAATCCTAGATATATTCTTTAGGTGATAGTAGGCTGATTTAGTAACTGTTTTAATGTGACTGTTGAAACTCAGGTCAGAGTCCATGACTACACCTAGATTGCTGGCTTTATCTGTTGTTTTGAACATTGCACACTGAAGCTCAGCGCTAACTTTTATACGTTCTGCCTTGGCTCCAAAAACCATTACCTCAGTTTTATCTTTGTTTAATTGGAGAAAGTTCTGACACATCCAGTCATTGATTTGTTCAATGCACTTACTCAGTGTTTGAATTGGAGCATAGTCTCCTGGTGAAATTGTTACGTAAATTTGTGTGTCATCTGCATAGCTATGGTAACTTATTTTGTTGTTCTTCATTATCTGAGCCAGTGGTAGCATGTAGATGTTAAAGAGAAGAGGCCCCAAGATGGAGCCTTGAGGAACCCCACATGTCATATTTGTCAACTCAGATGTGTATTTACCTATAGAAACAAAGTTGTTTCTGTCCTTTAAGTAGGATTCAAACCAATTCAGAACTGTTTCCGAAAGTCCCACCAAGTTCTCCAGTCGGTCTAGTAATATGCTGTGGTCAACAGTGTCAAACGCAGCACTGAGATCTAATAATACTAACACTGAAGTTCTGCCACTGTCTGTGTTTAAGTGGATGTCATTAAAGACCTTTACAAGAGCAGTCTCAGTGCTGTGGTTTGGACGAAAGCCTGACTGGAACACATCAAAACAGTTATTTAAATGCAAGAAATTACTCAACTGTTGAAAAACAACTTTTTCAATGATTTTACCTAGAAATGGCAGGTTTGATATAGGCCTGTAATTGTTCATTACTGAAGGAAAAATACCTGAGTGAAGAGATTTGTTTACTATATGAAGTTGATCTGAGGCAAAACATCTTTGAAAAATCCTGTTGGAATAATATCAAGGCAGCAAGAGGAGGATTTCAGAAGTTGAATAATGTCCTCTAGGTTTTTATCATTAATCTGATGGAATTGTGTCATGATGTCTGAATTGATGTTAAGTGGACACAGAGACAACACATTTGCTGTTCCTGATGCAGAGGCACTGACTGCTTGTCTGATGTTCTGAATTTTGTCAGTGAAAAAGGCAAAATCATTGCACGCCCTGGTGGATAGAAATTCAGAGGCTACTGACACTGGGGGGTTAGTTAGTCTGTCGACGGTAGCAAACAAGGCACGTGCGTTGTTTTTGTTTTTGGTAATGATGTCAGAGAAGAACGATTGTCGTGCGTTTTTCAATTCCAAATTATAAAGGCCAAGTCTCTCTTTATAGATTTCAAAGTGAACCTGGAGATTTGTTTTTCACCACCTGCGTTCAGCTTTTCGACATTCTCTTTTTTCTGTTTTCACGCTCATGGCCTTTCTCCATGGAGATATTTTCTTGCCAGACACTTCCTTTACCTTAGTTGGAGCAATGGCATCTATAACATTTTACATTTTTGAATTAGCTTTAGTAGAAAAAAGGTGTCAAATTAATTGTATAACTTGTTGGGAACTGCGAAAGAAACGTTTGTATATTTTAAGGATTCCCTAGCCCTAGTTCACACTTTTAAAATTATCTGCACAATGCCGATCATTTAAATAAACACATTAGAGTAAAGCAAAAAGTCCCATGGATGAAAAAATTACACTGATTTAATCAGCATATAAAGGGAATCAGTGTTTGTTTAACATGTGTTTTTACATTGTGTATGTTCTACACATACTGTCAAGCAGATACATAATTCAGATCTGGAAAAATTGCTCTGTGTTAACTGTTTAAAACGGTTTACACAGTCCAGGATCCAATCATCAACAAGGATAAGTGCACAGGAAGGCTGACGATGAGCTGGAATTCCCTCCACTGTAAACTGTCATCTGAACTACTTCGCAGTGAGCCTCCCCAGCATTAGGTAATCGGGTTAATATTGGTGATGAATTACTCGCCTTAGTTTCCCACCTTTCAATTCATGGCTGGTGGTGAATGGGACACTGAGCAATCCGTATGAATCACAAGGATATGCAAACCAGCTTTCACTTTTCATGGTGGCTCGGCCTTGAGCAGATGTTGCTGAAAAAGCAGTGCGGCTCCTTTGCTCCTCTATTTTTATAAATAAATTGTCCCTTTAGGTCACAGAACTCCCCAGGGCGACATCTCTTTATGGAGATGACCTGCGCCCGCTGAAATATTCTAGACAGTTTTAGCACCTAGTCTCCCTCTGTGAATCACTAGAGTCAGCATTTACCCGAACGTCCTGCTGTAGGGCCAACTGCCAAGTACATTTATCACCATATCGACAATATTGTGCGTTCCTGTAAGTGGTGAATGCAGGCAGGTGCTTCACTACCGCAATGCCCAGAGGAGCAACAACCTCACTGCAGTGTTATTTAAATATGTTAGAGAATGTGTTTTTCCTGTCAAAAGAGATTATTATTTCAGAGCCTGCTTTACATCTGAAGCTAATACTGGTATGTTACTTGTGTTAACCAGCAGGTGGAGAAGTTTTCATGGAATTTTGCAACCTCCAGCCCCCACTCCTGTTCCTCCTCTGTCTGTCTCATGCTGACCCTCATGAAAGGAGTTCCTGCACCAACTTCATTCCTCTCCACAGAGGGAGAACATATGTTGGAGACTCACCAGAGACACAGCAAACAGAGAAACAAAGCTCTCACACTGGACTTAATTTTTGTTGTTGGATTACTTCTCTCAAGTCAGGGTCTTCATGGATGCGTCTTTGCATGTGGTTTTATGAAGTTGTGAAGTATACATATAACTTTAACCATGGAGACATATTTTGCTGTGAACTCTTTTCTCCTTGCCCTTCTTCTCTCTCTTCATCTTCACTGCCACCTCTTTGTTTGGGCCGCAATGGACTCCTGCTTGGATGAGGAGGGGGCCCCGAGCCGCTGCATGCCCAAGTTTGAGAACATTGCCTTCAACCGCACAGTGGTGGTGTCCAATGTGTGTGGTTCCCCACCTGAGGACTACTGCATGCAGACCGGCTCCACGCGCTCTTGCCACCACTGTGACGCGTCAGATCCAGAACTGAGCCACAACGCCAGCCTCCTCACAGACTTCCACATGGATAAGGAGCGCACCTGGTGGCAGAGCCAGTCCATGTTTTATGGTGTCCAGCACCCTAATTCTGTCAACATCACCCTACACCTCGGTAAGAGCATAACAGCAGTACACCCTTAGTGTAGTCTGACCCCAGAATCCTTAGGTTTTGCTTCCCAGTGCAGTTTGCTGCCAGGTTGAGTGAACTAGGTCATGCCTGTGAGTCCTCAGGGTTCAATTATGGTCCTATAATGTTGTATATAATGTCCTATTTCCTTTTCAAAGTGGTTGAAAGCTTTTCATGAGGACTGCATTTGTCCCAGAATAGAATATGAATATCAGTAATAGATTTAGCGCTCTAATGCAGACGGTTTCCAGTGTTAGAATCTGGTGATAGGATTTCAGATCAATGCATGTTAGTTGTCCTTGCACAAGTTAAGTTGAGGTTTCAGCACTTTTCATGTGGTGCAGTAAGTATCTTGATATATCACCCTTTGTACTGCAAGTCCATCGATGGGGAAATCTTTAATATGAAACAGCCGTGCTCAATAACACATGATTTGTATTATTCAGTTACAGCTTTGTGCTGTCTTCATAAAACAGACTTTGGGCCAGACATGGCTTAGACTTGGAGTATTTGTGAGCACATAACCACAAGGGCATGTCTGAGAATTTGGTGGGATTTAAAGTGGATGAGGATGACACATGCATCTGACATGCCGAGATAGCAACCAGAGTGATGGTTCAGTGCTGGCCCAAGTTTACATTCAGCTCACGTACTACCATGGAGTATTGGTGATGAGGCCATCTGAATCTGGCTGACACCAAACAGTCACAACTCAACTTGATAAGGCTTTTTTCTTGGGTGTGATTTGGGCCAGGACAACTCAAATGCAGCCACCACACATTGAAAGATGTTTCTGATTAGGCCTAGGCCAGAAATCAACCTTTAAGTAACTATTTTATCTTAAATCCACAACATTCCAATACAAAATATAACAACAATCTTCTGCTGGAGGCTCATTTAATGTTTTCAACCTTGCCAAAACAAACATACTGAACAACTGACTGTAGAAAAAACATAAGCCACTTAATATCTTCGGAGAAATTCCAGGAAATATGCAGCAGATAACCTACAGTAAAGCCCCAAGTTTGGCAGGAATAAGACTACGATAAGGAAAGGAGGACCAACTAAGGTTAGTCAGGAATTTACATAAAAATGTACTTGGAATTCAAAAAGATAAACTTATACTTTTCAGGGAGGTATATTTTATGAACCCCCCCATCAAGAGTCCTCTTTGCATAGTCAAGGGTTTGGTCAGCAGGTTTTCTGTCACTTACAATTATGCAAATGTTCCCCTTTACTTTAAAATGTTCATGGAGAAATCCCTTTAGAGATGTGTTTTAAACAAAGATTATATGTTGGTGTTTTGAAACATAGTCAAAGGCCTATAGTGAATACTGTTCCTGTCAAAACGTTTAAGTATCTACAAAATAAAAAACGACTTGCCTTGAGTGGATCATACTAAACAAAGTATGCAACTCCTACACCAAGTGAGAAAGCCTTTGTTTTTGCCTTGTCCATTTGCAGTGATTTTAATCAATATAACTTATGATGCAGTTAAGGGCACAAATACATCGAGCATTGTTGAGTAAGTGTATGAACATTTGCTTAATGAATTTGGGAAACTAAGTGGATCATAATTGCGGTTTCTTTTGATATTTTGATTTGATTTGTGAAAAATAAGCTACGTTTTGCTGGCACAAATTATGTAAACATAATGTTTCTCCAGCAGGAGCTCTGGCAGTTGTTCAATTTGAACACTTTTATTTTGTTTAGAGCTTTACTTACAGCTACTCATATAATCAATGCACGTAACACATTTTAGGCCAACCATCCTTTGTTAATACAAAGACAGGTTTGGGCTGTGTTCATGCTTTTTTACAGTAAGATATGATTGTGGTCAGGGTTAAGTCTTGGGAAAAAGCTTAAATCATTCAACTTTACGTTACCTGGAACTACATTGGGGTTTTCACATTAAAAAGCAAATGTAAAATAATTTTTACCACGCTGCATTATCCCTGTGTTAATAATACACGTTTTTAGGATTGCTTCCTTGACATACTCTTTTCCTTGGAGAAAATGCATTTGACACGCTTATTGTACAATGCGTACATATTTGCATTTGAAGACATTCCTCATTTCACAACATTTCATGAGACCAGCCTGAGCCGTTAGCCTCATTATCCCATTACCATGCTGCTGAAATGAAGTAACAGACCACATTTGTAACTTTAACTGAATTCAAATGTGGTGATTAATTTCAAAGCATTAATGCAACACTTTCTAAGAAATTACCTTTCCAACTTGTGTGTGTGTGTGTGTGTGTGTGTGTGTGTGTGTGTGTGTGTGTGTGTGTGTGTGTGTGTGTGTGTGTGTGTGTGTGTGTGTGTGTGTGTGTGTGTGGGTGTGTGTGTGTGTGTGTGTGTGTGTGTGTGTGTGTGTGTGTGTGTGTGTGTGTGTGTGTGTGTGTGTGTGTGTGTGTGTGTGTGTGTGTGTGTGTGTGTGTGTGTGTGTGTGTGTGTGTGTGTGTGTGTGTGTGTGTGTGTGTGTGTGTGTGTGTGTGTGTGTGTGTGTGTGTGTGTGTGTGTGTGTGTGTGTGTGTGTAGGTAGAGAGTCAAAGCAAGGGCCTATAGAATTTCGGCCCACTTGAAGAATATTACTTAAGGCCCACCTTGTAACCGAATGAATACGGTAATTCCTTTTAAAAAAAAAGACTTAATCTTATAAATGTGACTCTTTAAACTTGAATTGGCAGTTACAGGTTAAACACATTATTTCCTGTGCATTTATTTGTTCCTCCTTCATTGTTCACTATAACAGAACAATACTGTATAATACATTACCAATACGAGAACTCAACAGGGACTTACAGACAAATTAATCATTTATTATTTTCAGGCTACCTTCAGGTTGTATACATATTATCTCACCCAAAAGAGGGAATTCAAACATATTATCCAAAATGGCAAACAATTCTATAAATGCATTTGAACCCTGCCAGTATTCAAATGAGCTATTACTATATTTTACTGTACATTATTTCGATTTCCTCAAAGTTATGTAACTGTGTGGAAATGTAGCCTAGACAACTCGTTTAAAATAAATTGCTGACACGGCATGTTCAGGTACCTGTGAGAAACGTATCATTTGGAAACAATGCTTCCAGTTATTTCTAGTAAATCTATGGGTTTAAACTAAACGTTCCCATAGTGTGATGATAGTGAGTCGGATTTTTCCAATGTGTGCTGGGATGGATTCCATTGTGTTTTAGGCTGCAGGATAAGCGGATGATTACTCATGGAAGGATGTATTTTCATAATTTCTCTGTATCATCTCCAATTCAGCCACAAATTAGATAAACTACATATGGGAAGATGTTGAATTCAAAGGTTGGATTGAAAGCTTGTCTATTTGGTATTTTAATTCAAATGCAATCCAAAAGGATTTTTAATTGAATTCGAATGTCACATGTAACCTGTAATGACGGGGTTTGGCCACTTGGGAGAAGCGTAAATAAGCTTAAAACTACACAGCACTGCAAATAAACATTGATAAGGCCCACTGCAAGCTAACAACTGCTAGTGTGCACAACCAGCATTTTCCGAGCAACACGCATTTGAGTCCTGTTTTTGGCAAAGTGGCGCATGTAAGTCCATTGTTCACTGTCTTTTAGCTTTGTTTTACTTTATTTATTCCAATTCCCAAAGGAATTAGCTGTCTAGCATTTAGTTTAGCTGCTACCGTTAAACCATATTAACGTTAGCAGCTTAGTAACATTAGCTGCTAAGCTAGCTCCTGCCGGCCCTGCCAGCTGTTTAAGGTGCATACTACTGTGAGCACTTTTAGCTAAAAGCAACGCTTTGAAAGTGGTGAGAGTGAACCACAACAGCAAAGCAGTGGTATAAAGTACTACAATTCAGAGGTAGATAATGTACTTTCTCTCCACTAGATTTATATTGTATCTTAAATTACTGTACAGATCTGGAATAATGTTGTGAAATATAATCATAAATAAGACTTTAGTTACACCTGGAGTAAATCCACAAGCTACTTTGCAGTGTCTTGCAGTGTCACGCACAGTGACGTCACGAGCTACCCACAATGTAACGCACGCCATATATATATATATATAAATACGCCATTTTCCTGGAGGTGCAAATATAAACAGCTAGCTAATGTAGCCAGGCAGAGCGCACAAGGTTTTTTTTCTGAATTAACGACCGAAGAAATCGCTGCTTTGGATTACATCTCTGGACTTGAGGGGTGTGCTCTAGGTCGTTACCAGCGTAAACTAGAGCTGTGTGGGTTGTCGGATTGCCCTTACAGACTGCCTGCAGATGTATGGAAAAACGACCCTCGAAAGTGGCCTTTGTCGATTTTGGCTGCATCTACGTCTAATTTCTGGAAACACCAGGTGAATACCCCACTTGTCACAATAATATTATCATGCCATTGCATATATGTGGTATTTTAGAGTTGACTAGATATTGATTAAGGCAATAAACTATGATATTCAGTACAGGAAGCTGGCTAAACCCTCGGCCTGCTTGCACCTCGCGTAAAATGGCGGATACCGGAAGTACGGTGTCGCCCTCGGCCCAATACCCGTATGTGTGTGTGAAAGAATTAATTAGCCGTCCCTTTACCAGCTTTGATCACTCTCTAATGCATCAATGATTATAAGAATAGCATCTGATATTATTCTGAAATGAGCCAATCTGCAGAATGAGTACTTTTACTGTTGGTACTTCATGCAGACCCGGCGCCAGAACAAATCTACAGAGGGCATATGATTTTCATGGGAGGGCACACAAAACCGTCATGTGCCCTGGCACAATATAGATCGTATCAAACAGCATGGCCAACAGCATTGCGTAAATACACACACCTATCGCAAATCAATACACAAATAAAGGGCAATATAGAAACCACTTTTGAAACATTGTGTGCTCATGAGCAAGGCACACATTTGAAATAAAAAGAAAACATAACAGCAACAGATTTGCTTGGGCCTTAAACTTGGGTAACCGTTGACCGGAGCAGCAAACCTAATAATACAGAGCGACGGCGACACCACATTATGCAGTGCGTACTTGCGTAACTCAGCCCTAGGGTTTGCCGAGGTCAAGATATAACCTTACGGCGTGCTGCTGCAACAGCAGGTGCAGGGTCGCCAGCAGCACCATCGGCTGCAGTTCTCTCATCGCGATTTATTTGTAATAAAGCCAATTTCTGATGTCCATTTTGTAATTTAAAACAGAAATGGGAGTCTATAGAATGCATAATAAAAAACAAATCCAGAATAGGCACAGTAGTGTGATGCTGTGATTGGTCTAAATGTGGACAAATCACAAAAGATACATGAATTTATTTGACGTAGCCTACGATTTTTGTTGTAGTTACTATCTATACACCGTAGCATTAAAGTTCACAGTTTATTTATAATAAAACAAACGTGTTTATTGGGGGAGGGCAGGAATGTCAAATGGGAGGGCCTGGCCCTCCCACGGCGCCGTCGCGCCGGGTCTGACTTTAAGTATATTTAGATGCTAATGCTTTTCTGCTTTTGCTTGTGACAGAGAATTCATACACTCTGGTATTTCTACTTTAACTTAAGTACAAGATCTGAGTACTTTTTACACCTTTTCAGCAAAGTTTCAAACTAGCTTAAAGATAAGGTGTGTTTGGACATCCATCAATCAGTCAGTGAAGACTCTGTCCAAACTAGACATTTCCATGACAGGTCAAATGTCCTCCCTCCTCCTCCCCTTTGTAGGGAGGAGACCCCCATCAAAGAGCTTTTCTTCAAAGAAACAAGAAACAGGGACAAAATGACGACACAAGTTGAAAATGAACTGTTATATCACATGCTCAGAAGGCCAGAAGTCGCTCCATCAAATAGAACATATTGATTTCCAATAGCAAGTAGATGCCACGCTATAAAGGCTTTGCTGTTTATAATCTCAGGCTAGATCTTTTCCTGGAGAAAGCAGCCAATGTTACTTTTGCAGAGGTATTTTCCCGGTTGTCTGCAGGGCTGTTATTCTTCAGACAATCCCGACACCCACATGTCTGTCTGTCTCAGACTGAATTGACCTTTGCTCCCTCTGTTCTACTCCAAAACATGTGTTTCTCTAAACCTGGCGCCTTAATAATTCCAAAAAAAGAGCGAAGATTATGTTTTCATAAAACATCTTATGTAACTGCACATCCCTGAATGTCGGATGTGTGGCATCTTTTCGGTCGGTATAAAAGCTCTGTGATCCATCTGGGTTGCTGGTGGGGGGTTACTCCAACATTACTGTTTTCTTTTGCCTCTCCAAACAAAACAAGCTCTCTCTGAAAGGGAATGCAGGCGAAAGCTGGGATGATAAACACAGCGGTGGGATGCAGGGACATATATTGCAGCCCGGTCAGAGTGGGTCTGTGGAAGTGTAGAAAGAGAGGGGGAGCTGGGCTGCTTCAAGGGGAGTAAACAAAACATAATGAGCAAGAAGGGGGGGAGAAAGAAAAAAATGCTGGGCGGTTTGGTGGTACGGAATTGGGGTCAGGTTTTTCCCACAAAAAAAGACTTTGTGAGATACACACACACAGCACACAGAGATTTCTGCAGCTGGTTCTCATTCAGTGCCGTCAAAGACAAACAACATCCTGTCTCAGATGTAAAACAATGATAAAAGTCTGCCACAGTTGGCAGGAGGCTCTCAAATGATTCCCGCGCATTTGCGACACATTTCTCTGTAAGACGCTTGTCGACTCTATTGCATTTGTTAACCAAGACCCAGCGTGATTAGCTGATAAATACACTCATCTGTGCATTTGCTGAACACGAACATCTGGGAGTAAACAGATTGTAAATATTGAGTCTACAGTACTTGTGGTGAGTTTAGTCTCAAACTGTCTAGGTCTTTGGCAGCTGTGTTGAGTTGACATTAGTGACTGGGCGTAGGGTCAGATGCTGTACGTCCTCAGCTCATAGTCTTTACTCTTTATCTCTGTGTCCAAATAGTCCTTTTATTGGTGTGCAACATGAACAGCTTTGGTTGGATTTGTGATGCTACAAGATTCTCGATCAGCCCTGTAAAGTCACACCTAGGAAGGTGATAAACTGAGTTGAAACTGTGAAGATTAATGTGTGAATTCTATCTTAAGGTATATTTTATCTATAGATATTATGTGTTACTTGGCTTGGTTTCGATTCAACAGCCTAAACCCTAATGAATATATTAAGAATGCACTCCTGAAGGTGGATGAATCACGAATCATTAAACATTACGCATAACAACATACAAATACCCTCTGCAATTAGTCTGCATTGCATCATGGGATATTCAACAAATGCTTCATCTTCTGCCTCTTTTATGTTTTTGCCTCAGTTCCAGCAGGGCTGAGCTCACCTCATGCAGGGAGTGAATGAAAGCTAAATGTTCTCTCCTAAAGGAAAGATACCATTAGAGCTCGCTGCAGAGACAAGAGACAGAAATGCCTAGCTCTGACTATCAGAGAAAAGCAACAGATGTCATTATGAATGTACCAGTGGATTGCATCCCTCGATGAATTTGCAGAGCGGGTGAGACTTAGTGTCTAATGATGTAGAAACAAATCCCCAAGAGCGCGATGAAGAAGCCTGTTAGGAGGATTTCTACATGTTACTCCTCAGTCTGTTCTCAATATGACTTCAGTTTGTGTCTGCCCAGTTAATCCCCCGTAAAGCTGCACAACATTTGGCACATTCTGTGAGCGTGTTTATATTCAGGAAGTATAGCTCTGCAAGCCTCCGCAATATGGCTTCAAGATGACTGTTTGAAGTGTCCGACCCCACAGTGAGTAAACATTGACACCACTCGATAAAAGAGAAGCATCGATTCTTCGTTTGCTCTGAGATTAGGAAGAAGATGTCAACATTCCTGCAAAACCAAACAGCTGTGTTGCAATCAATGACTTTCCTTCTTCAGTTTTCCACATTATAAAGCAAAATCCCCCATTAATTCAAGCCATCTGCGTATGCAATATGCAAAAAAGATAGCACAATGCATTTCTCATTTAATTAAACATATACCTGGGAGATTCTTCCCTTCACTTATTTCGAAGCTTTAAATGACTTTGCTCACATTTCTTCGAGTAACAATGCAACACCCATTACACGAAAACCTATTTTGATCTGCTAAATCCCCTAACAGCAACTCAAATGCAAATCTGGATATGGTATATCTCCTCGCTTACTGCAGATCTTCTTCCAGATGAGATTGTGCTCTGAAACCATTTTACTTTTAAACAGATTGAAGTCAAATCAGTGTTTCTGGCGAAATAAAAATCCATGAAAAGTCTCGTTTTTTTACCCCAGGCACCAAATGTACGGTGGACTAAAATCTTGCCTTCGATTTTTGACCTATCATTCAATCAATGATATGTTAAGTTATAAGCAATCCTCAGCCTCTCATTGCACTCCTTAGTGTTTTAGTGGGTTGACAAATCACTTTTCTATCGATTAGATCTATCCCTTTCCTGTCGCACCTCAAATGTTGCATCAGACTACATCCTAACCAGTGATTGGACAACACTGGCATTTCCCCTGTGATTTTGCACTCATTGACCTATTTTGTCTTACAATTCTCTTTCCCTTTGACCTATGTTTCACCACTGCTGGGGCCCATTATGGTTGGTATAATGAGAAAATAATCCTTGGGATTCTTCTAGTCCTGCAGGAATGACATTCATTTACCCTGCAAAGAGGCATGGGAAATTAAGCCTACCCCCCATTGTTTTCCTTATTTCTATAATGCAATTATGTCTTTTTTTCCTTTTATTTTTGCTCCTGGGCCCTAAACTATCACCCTCCAGTATTTGTCTCTCACATAACCAGCCTCTGATCCGACTGTGTAGCTACAATGGATCTAGTTCCACCAGTAATTCTTTCAATGATGCCATTCAGAGCTAATCATATCTGTTTTCCACAGGGAAGGCTTTCGAGATAACTTATATACGATTGAAATTCTACACCAGTCGGCCGGAGAGCTTTGCCATCTACAAGCGCACGGAGCAGAATGGGACCTGGTTGCCTTACCAGTATTACAGCGCCTCTTGCAGGAAGACCTATGGGAAGGATGACAAGGAGTACATTCGCCCAGGAGGTGACGAGAGGAATGCTTTATGTACCGATGAGTTCAGTGATATCTCTCCCCTGACCGGAGGAAACGTGGCTTTCTCCACCCTGGAGGGGCGGCCCAGTGCTTACAACTTTGACCAGAGCGTGGTGTTGAAGGTAAGGACACATTGTGATGTGTATATTTGTATCCATATTATGGATATTATTCTTTTTTGCAGATATTTTAGTTGACATGGGTGAATCTAGGTTCAATTAAGATAAGAAAAGATGAGATAAGATGGACCTCACCTTTATTGATCCCTGTAGGGAAATTCAGGTCACTTACAAATAAAACATTTGAAAAACAAATTAATACAAAGTAAATATTCCTTCAAGAGACATGTTTTACGTAGAATACACTTAAAAAAAATGTGAATATTTGCTTCTTTTTTTACTACCTTACATTTCAAAATGTTGCCAATGTTAGATCTTAGTTTTGACATCCAATATTTATTTTCAAAAACTCCTGGAAAAATAATGTGTCCCAGCTTGTATTCTGATTCTAATTCTGACAGGGTTATTATAGGCCAGCTATCATCACAAGATCACATGTTGTAACAGTGCCGTGCAACTTAAACGTACACTTTTACACAAACAAACATACCTCGGAGCTATACACATATACATATGCATGCGTTCAAGCCCTTTGGAAGCCACTGAAGAGATTCTAATATGATGTTTGGATCTAATTAACATTTATGAAGCTTTGAGAAGGCTGTGCTGAATTAATGGCAGCCTCTTGGGGGAGAGTCTGGGAGGGGCGGGCACAGTGAAACTTAGCAAAAAAGGAGTAAATAATATAGCGCTTAATGCAGCCACTCCTTTATTTATTTGACAGGGCTGTGTGTAAATATGTTTCCCTTTGGTAATTACTAAAGATCTTAGACGTCATGTGTATTAATATGTGATATATGAATGTGTCAGCATTGCTTACAGTAACTTATGATTGATCCAAATAAAAATAACCGTGTCACAGCAGTTTATGTGAGTTAGCTAATTAGAGCAGAGATTGTTCAGGACCACCCATGAATAATGAAACAATGGTACTTTCATCTCTGAGCAAACATATGCATTTATGGCCATAAATAGCATATCAGGAAATTGAATTGAGATTGTCCGACTTCAGAAGAAAATAAGTATTTTAAGATGGCAAATCAAGACCAACATTTATGAAAATATCAGTACAAAACATTTATACTGATATTTTCTTTTCTTTGGTTTAACCTTAAAATCTAATGGTGTCATCTGACGGATCACATTTACATTTTAGAGACAGCAAGATTAAAAAGAAAGTCAATGGAAAATGGTTTAGTAGTACAATTCAAATCACAATCAGTTTTTTCCAGGTTTCCCGTTCAAAGGATTTGGCCTATTTCTTAAAAAATGTATTAAAATGTAGATTTAATTTTCTATTTTTTTTTAATTTAGAATAGAAAAAATGTAAGGTACAATAGAAAAAGTAAAAAAATATGGACATATCTTTTTGTATGATTAAAGAGATATACAGCTGTGTGCAGCCTTACAGTATATAATGTTCAATGGCATCAATTTCTGAGGGAAGCAGGTTTAAATGTGTAAGTATGTGGTTAGCTGGGACATACTAAGTGAAGGACCAGGGTTTACACTTACAAGGCACGTTGGGCAAGTTTAGAAGAAGATAATATAAAAAAATGATTAAATGTTTTGTACTTAAATTGACTGGAGTTTGTCAATTTTTAACCACGAAGTTGCGTGCTTTGAGTACTTAAGAATCAACATGAAAACACTAACTCTGGTTGCTACAAGCGGAACACATAATGTAGAAAAATACATTGATTCTCGACGACCAGTTTGCATATTTATGGTTCATTCAATATCTCCTCATTATTTTAAAGAAAATGTATTCATGGCATTATGTGTCTCTCAAAAAGTACTTGCTGTTGTAAACAGTGATTGGAGAAAGGAGAAACCATGATGAATAATCATTAAAAAGTTACCATTTCTCAGTAAAACTTCCACCACCACCTCCATAGTGTTACAGGATGTTTACATATAGGCCTCCCTCTGCCCGGGTGTTTTCATTCTGGATGTTGCTTGTCTCCACTCTACCTTGCGGTGCTGTATGCATGTTGCTATTTTTACTTCCTGTCTCTAGAACATGAGCAACAACAAAAAACCCAACCCTGTAGAGTACATACAGCTTCAACAGTAACCCTTAATTATTAAAGGAACTTCATGCCGCGATGATCAGTCCTCAGTGATGTCCCTCTCATGTTAGCTAATGATAACTCTTCACCTGTCTGACCTTTTCCCTCAAATGTCATATCGAAATAGTTCTGGCAAAGAAAGAATAGCACTTCTGTAAAGGAAGGGAGCTGTCCTCCACATCATTAAAAAAAGATAAGTAAGGGTGCTTTTTAGAGGAAGTGTGGATGATATGCACACTGCATACCTCCTAACAAAAAAAGAAATGTGTCAATTTACACCCAGTATTTATGGAGGTTTGCAGATTAAGATAAGGCTCTCTATTCATCTGTATTATACTATTTGTATAACAAGATTACAGTGGTGGTAGGATTGTTTCCGACTTGTTTGATCCAAATATTTGTATAGAACTCCAGAGCATTGTAAAGTACAAAAGACAAAATCTATTGAAAAAGAATAGATGTAATAAATCAAAAATTCACAGTTTTTCTTTCAATTAATTTCATATTTAGCTTCAAGCTGTTTTTGCATAACATCAATGTAGCAGCACTATAAAATACATATATATCATCTAAATAACAAAAATCTAATCTCTTTTCTCATTTTTTCATAGTGATGATACAGTATCATGAAATATGATTACAATTGATTGACATTCAAAGCTTCATTCCTTAAAAGACGATTCAAATGTTTAATAAAAGCATAGGTAGAGCCTTGAATCCATCTTCCACAACTTAATCAAGTGAAGACGAAGAGTGTGTGTGTGTTGCTCCCTCTGGCAGTATCTGAGCTGTCCGCTGGATATGATAAATGAATATGTTATAAATCAATCTGAAGATGATTAAGCTAGACTATAGCACACCCGAATCCCAATATTTATCTCGGCTCATTCTTGATGCTTTGATACTCGACTATGAAATATGTTGTTTTAAATATCTGAATGCAACGTTCAGTGCTATCAAATATTCACATAATAACCTGTTCAGAAACATACGGCTCACTCTGATAGATTGTAACTGATGAGGATTCATTGTGACGGCATCATTGTTTTATTCACACTCTCAAACTTCCTTAAGATGTTTGATTTCAAAAGTACAACAGTGTGATGTGGCTGACAAGCCCTTAGGGCTACATATGGTATCTCTGCACACACACCTTCACCCCACCCCCCTGCCACCCTAACACTCACATGCTTTCTGTGCCGGATGCTGTCCTCTCATAAATCCTCCTCTCCCATCAGCCACGGCACTTTGAGTAGGTGACATCTCTCCAACCTCCTGCAGAGTATAAAGTGGCAGCTTTCCTCCAGAGTGATGCCATTTCAAACTGGGAAAACATGGAGGCTGGAAAAACAGCAATGCTGAAGACACATCAGCTCTCAACATTTGCTAACTGCGGTGAGCAACAGGATGGAGACAAGTTCTATTCCCCTAGTGCAGGGGTGGCCAACCTGCGGCTCTCGAGCCGCATGCGGCTCTTTGCCTAGTTTCATGCGGCTCTTCAGTTCATATTGAATTTTATATGTGTGAGTTTGGGGGAGAGACACTGACTCCTGACTAGTGGTGCACGGTGTACCGATACTTGAAAGGTATACCGCGATACCCTGCCGTTAAAAACGTTACGATTCCTCAGTTTAAGAATGACGGCGGAAAGTACTCCGGTGAGAAAGCGCCGTTTAAATAAGAGCCGTGTGTGTTCAGCGCTCTGCTTCCACTCCCTGCTCTGCAGCCGTGCCTGCAGTCCCGCCCCTCTAAAGCACGCTCAAGTGCCTCCCCGCTCTCGTGCACGCGCTAGTTGCCAGAGCATGTGAGAAAACGAGAAGCATGGCTGCAAGTGGGAGTGCAACTGCCGCTGCCCCTCGGCTTGTTGACAAAAAAGACGCCAGAAGCGAAATGTGGAAGTATTTTAGCTATATCTCTGACAGTGAGGGCAAGCCTACGGACACCACGAGGCCTGTCTGTAAGAAATGTATTAATTTTATTTAATACGAATTCTTGTCATTTATTGTATTTATTGTTCTCATTGTTTAAAGGTTGTGTTATGGTTCTGGTTCTGGTCTGAAATAAAGCACAATAATTACATTTAAGACTGTTTCCCTTTTTTTAAGAAAAGTATCGAAAAATAATCGGAATCGCAATTCTTGACTTGGTATCGAAACCAAAATGTTGGTATCGTGACAACACGACAGTTAAACCTGATATTTAGTAGGTCTGTTAAGTATTGAATGCTGATAATTCTGACGTAATTTGGCCGGTCAAAGTTGTTTGGGCTCGGATAAAATTGCTCCGTTACTTTCGTTCCGTGTTACTTTCGTCCCGTGTTACTTTCGTCCCGTGTTACTTTCGTCCCGGCTCTCCCTACGTGTGTATGTGTGGTGTCAGGTGTCAGTATGAGAGGATGACAGCGCGTCTAATTTTGATGTGGCCCAAGAGCCAATCACAATAATACCTGCGATGCAGTGAACCAATCACTTTTTGAGGGGGGGGAAACCTATGATTAAACACTACTATCCAGTGTTTCCCCTACCATTGTCTTGGAAGGGCGCTGCACCCCGCCAACGGAGCCCCGCGCCCCCCCCTGAAATTCAAGGTGTTTAAAAAATATATATAATTTTTTTTAAATATATATATCGCACCAAATTGCAAATAATCTATAACTACTGTCACTTTTCACATTGAACATGTGCTCTTTTATTAAATAAACTAAACGCTTTCATTTGAAGTTGTGAGTTTAGTGTTTTTGACCCTAAGAAACACTGATGCATTAATCAATAACAATAATCCACAGCTCCTCTCTGCTCCAGAGGATTTAAAAAATATATATCCCAATGCCACAAAAATGCATCAGTGACGTGGTTGAAATCTTGTCTCCAGAAAACAAAAAACTGAAACAAGCGGTATCAGTGACTGTGTGTTTGATGTGGCTCTTTGCAG